AACCCGTCCCCACGTCATCTCCCGTACACCCCGTCACTACGTCTCCTCTTGTCACAAACCCGTCACTCGTTTTTCCATACACCCAACCGTCACTACGTCTCCTCCAGTACACAACCTGTCACTACGTCATCCTCCCGTAAAAAAACCCCGCACTACGTTCCTAGTAAAAAACCCTTCACTACTCTTTCTCCAGTACACAAACCCGTCACTGTCTTTCCCCCCAGTACCAACCGGGGCACTAATCTCTCCTCCAGTACACAACCGTCAAAGTCTTCCTCCCTACACAACCTGTCCACTCCTTTCTCCGTAAAACCCAACCCGTCACTCGTCTCCCCCAGTACACAACCTGTCCCCCCACGTCATTCAGTACACAAACCCCTTCACTACGTCATCCCCCAGTACCAACCGTCACTACGATCCCTCAGACCCAAACTGTCACTACGTCTTTCTCCAAACAAACTGCACTACGTCATCCCCCCAGTACCAACTGTCACCCAAAGTCCCCTCCAGTCCAACTGTTTTCCGCATCCTCCCTTTCCAAACCCTTTATAGTCATCCTCCATACAAAACCCGCACTACGTTCCCCCCCCCTTTCACAACCTTCAACTATCTCAGTACACAAACCTGCACTCGTCTCTCCAGTACAACCTTCACTACGTCTCCTCCAGCCAACCTGTCACTAGTATCCTCCAGTAAAAAAACCCCATAGTCATCCCCCCAGTACACAACCTTCCCCTTCGTCTCCCCAGTCACAACCTGTCATAGTCATCCCCCATACACAACCTTCACTACGTCACCTCCAGTACACAAAACTTCATCGTTCATCCTCCCCCGTACACAAAATTTCACGTCTCCCCCCAGTACACAAAAATGTCTACGTCATCCTCCCGTACACAACCTTTTACTACGTCCCCCAGTCACAACCTTCCTCGTCATCCTCCAGTACCAACCTGTCACCCTTCGATCCCCCGTACCAACCTTCAAATACTTTATCCCCCAGTAAAAAACCTGTCACTACGTCATCCTCCAGTTACACAACCAGAGAGCACGACGTCATCCTCCAGTACACAACCTGTCACTACGTCATCCTCCAGTACACAACCTGTCACTACGTCATCCTCCAGTACACAACCTGTCACTACGTCATCCTCCAGTACACAACCTATCACTACGTCATCCTCCAGTACACAACCTGTCACTACGTCATCCACCAGTACACAACCTATCACTACGTCATCCTCCAGTACACAACCTGTCACTACGACATGCCCCATTACACAACCTGTCACATACGTCATCCTCCAGTACACAACCTGTTAACCTTAACATTTAACTTATGACTAAAATATAAAAGAAAAAGACCTCGGGTCCAGAATTAAAAGTATTTAGTAATTTATACTAGAAACTTAAAAATTAAAATTTAAGTATATACTAAATATACCACACAACACACACACACCAACACACACACACGCACACTACACACACACACACACCCACACGCGCACACACCGCCACACGCACACTACGCACACGTCACAACACACGCACATACGCCACAACACACGCAACACGCACACACAAGTACATAGAGCTCACACACGAGCGTACACGCCCACACACCACACACACACACACGCACACCCGCACACACAACGCACACAATACGCCAACACACGCACGAACGCGGAAGGCATAGATGGAGACGGGAGAAAGAGGACTACATAGTAGGTATACTCAGTCTGGGGAACACAAAGTGGTCATTGCAGTGATGTCAAATCCACCACAGAAACTGCCGGAGCCAAGAGATGGAATATGAAGAGAAGCAACAAGCAATGGTGGACCACACTTGCTGAGGTGCAAGAAGACTCACTCCAACCAGAGCAAAGTTGTCTGGTTATGGGGGAGTTCAACCACAGGGAGATAGACTGGAAAACCTGGAGCCACATGGGGTCCCGCAACATGGAGAGCCAGGATATTGGACGTGGTGCTGGAAAACCTCATGCACCACCATGTTAAGGACACTACCAGAGTGAGAGGGGAGGATGGACCAGCAAGACTGGACCTTGTGTTCACCCTGGGCAGCTCAGACATTGAGGACATCAAGTATGATAGTCCCCTAGGAGCTAGCGACCACGTGGTTCTGTGCTTGAATACATAGTAGAGCTGCAAGTGGAGAGAATAACAGGAGTTGAATGGAAAAGCCTGACTATAAAAGAGGGGACTACATAGGGTTTGAAGAACTTCCTGCGGGAGGTCCAGTGGGACAGAGAACTGGCAGGAAGCCAGTAAATGAAATGATGGATATGTAACAACAAAATGCAAGGAGCAGCGGAAAGGTTTATTCCCAGGGCAACAGTAACAACGGCAAGATCAGAACGCGCCCCTGGTTTACCCGACGGTGTAAGGAGGCAAAAACAAAGTGCAATAGAGAATGGAAAAAGTACAGAAGGCAGAGAACACACGAAAATAGGGAGATCAGTCGCAGAGCCAGGAATGAGTATGCACAGGTAGGAGGAGGCCCAGCGACAGTATGAAAATGACATAGCATCGAGAATCAAGACTGACCCGAAACTGTTGTATAGCCACATCAGGAGGAAGACAACAGTCAAAGACCAGGTGATCAGATTAAGGACAGAAGGTGGAGAACTCACAAGAAATGATCAGGAGGTATGTGAGGAGCTGAACAGGAGATTTAAGGAAGTTTTTACAGTAGAGACAGGAAGGGCTGTGGGAAGACAGTACAGAAGGGAACATCAAGAGGGAATATACCAACAAGTGTTGGATGACATACGAACAACTGAGGAGGAGGTGAAGAAGCTCCTAAGTGACCTTGACATCTCAAAAGGTGATGGGACCGGACAACATCTCCCCATGGGTCCTTAGAGAAGGAGCAGAGATGCTGTGCGTGCCTCTAACCACAATCTTCAACACATCCCTTGAAACTGGGCAACTACCTGAGAAATGGAAGACAGCTAATGTAGTCCCCATATTTAAGAAAGGAAACAGAAACGAGGCGCTAAACTACAGACCTGTGTCTCTGACATGTATTGTGTGCAAAGTCATGGAGAAGATTATCAGGAGAAGAGTGGTCGAACACCTGGAAAGGAACAAGATTATAAATGAAAACCAGCATGGGTTCATGGAAGGCAAATCTTGTATCACAAACCTCCTGGAGTTTTATGACAAGGTAAGAGAAGTAAGACACGAGAGAGAGGGGTGGGTAGATTGCATTTTCCTAGACTGCAGGAAGGCCTTTGACACAGTTCCCCACAAGAGATTAGTGCAGAAGCTGGAGGATCAGGCGCATGTAACAGGGAGGGCACTGCAATGGATCAGGGAATACCTGACAGGGAGGCAGCAACGAGCCATGGTACGTGAAGAGGTATCACAGTGGGCGCCTGTGACGAGCGGGGTCCCACAGGGGTCAGTTCTAGGACCAGTGCTATTTTTGATATATGTGAACGACATGATGGAAGGAATAGACTCTGAAGTGTCCCTGTTCGCAGATGATGTGAAGTTGATGAGAAGAATTAAATCGGATGAGGATGAGGCAGGACTGCAAAGAGACCTGGACAGGCTGGACATGTGGTCCAGTAACTGGCTTCTCGAATTCAATCCTGCCAAATGCAAAGTCATGAAGATTGGGAAGGGGCAAAGAAGACCGCAGACAGAGTATAGGCTAGGTGGACAAAGACTACAGACCTCACTCAGGGAGAAAGACCTTGGGGTGACCATAACACCGAGCACATCACCGGAGGCACACATCAACCAAATAACTGCTGCAGCATACGGGCGCCTGGCAAACCTGAGAATAGCGTTCCGGTACCTTAATAAGGAATCGTTCAAGACACTGTACACTGTGTATGTTAGGCCCATACTGGAGTATGCAGCACCAGTCTGGAACCCACACCTGGTCAAGCACGTCAAGAAGTTAGAGAAAGTACAAAGTTTGCAACAAGGCTAGTCCCAGAGCCAGGGAATGTCGTACGGGAAAGGTAAAGGGAAATCGGACTGACGACACTGGAGGACAGAAGGGCAGGGGAGACATGATAACGACATACAAGATACTGCGGGGAATAGACAAGGTGGACAGAGATAGGATGTTCCAGAGAGGGGACACAGGGACAAGGGGTCACAACTGAAGCTGAAGACTCGACGAGTCACAGGGACGTTAGGAAGTATTTCTCAGTCATGAGTTGTCAGAAAGTGGACGGATGTTCCAGATGAGGGGACACAGACACAGAGGTCACAATTGGAAGTTGAAGACTCAGATGAATCAAAGGGATGTTAGAAGTATTTCTTCAACCAGTAGAGTAGTCAGACCGTGAATAGCCTAGAAAGGACGTAGTGAGGCGGGAACCAACATAGTTTAAAGGCGAGGTATGATAAAGCTCATGGGCCAGGGAGAAGAGGGACCTAGTAGCAATCACGCGAAGAGGCGGGGCCAGGAGCTATGACTCGACCCCTGCAACCACAAATAGGCGAGTACAAAAGGTGAGTACACACGCACACACACCACACGCGCGCCACACACACGCGCGCACACACACACACACGCCACCACACACACCGCGCACACACACACCACACACCACACGCACACGCACACGCACACACACACGCACACACACAACGCCACACAACACACACACACACACACACACACACACACACACCACACACACACCCACACACACACTCACACACACACGCGCCACCACACCAACACACCACACACACACCAACACACACACACGCACACACACACACACAACACAACACACACACAACACACACAAACACACACAACACACACACACACAACACACACACACACACACAACACACACACAACACACACACAACACACACACACACACACACACAACACACACACACACAACACACAAACACACACACAACACACAACACACAACACACAACACACACAACACACAACACACACACACAACACACTCAACTAGGCAGACACTCACCTGTGACAAGCCCAGGTGTACGGAAGCCGTCTCAGATATATACATAATCTTGCCGTCAGGAGCCACCACGAAGATAAACCCGTCCAGAGTCTGCAGGAACGTAATATATATCAACATTAACTATCACTATGTACAATAACTACAGAGGCAGTTGAATGATATCTCTCAGCCTTTCGTGTGTCACTGAATATATTACTGCAACATGAAAAACCTGGAGCTATGATTCAACTCCCCCTGTGGTTATTTTCTTTTCCATATGTAGATGTGTGTGTGTGTGGGTGTGTGTCGTGTCGAATAGGTAAAATTGGTCAGTTAGCAAGAACTCATTTAAAATTAAGTCCTTTCTAAAAAAAATTTCTTATACATTTTAAGATATATTATTAATATTGTATTAATATTATTAATATTGTAAAAATTATTAATATTGTACTAAAAGAACCTTAGAAAACTTACCTAACCTTATTATAACAAGTGCAATTTAATTTAGCCTAATCTAACTAAATATATTTTAGAAAAGTTTACAAGAATTTAATAATAAACACAATGAAATATATTTTTTTCGTTAGGTTCAGAATGATTTTTTGCGAAATTATTGCATACACAAATTTTCGCTTGCTTTATTCGGCAAGAAGAGCGTTGCTATTTAAGCCAAAATTGCAAGTTTTACTTATTCGACACGAATAATATATATATATATATATATATATATATATATATATATATATATATATATATATATATATATATATATTATTACTAATAACAGTGTTTTAATATAAATTCTCCCTCCCCCACCCCTAACTCTCCCCCCTCCCCATCCCCCCTTCCACAACAAATTAGGCTCGTATTCTTTTATACATAAACTACTCCGATCACTGTAGGTTCTAGCTCCTGGTGCCGGGTACCCTAATAACAGTCATGGAGAGAGCGGTAAACCCGTGGGGGTCATCCTGCAGCCATGTGGGGAGGGTAGAACAAGTAAACATGTACCACCTTTGTTGCCAAGGTCACACCTGTGCTGCGAAGGTCACACCTGTGTTGCCAAGGTCACACCTGTGTTGCCAAGGTCACACCTGTGCTGCGAAGGTCACACGTGTTGCCAAGGTCACACCTGTGCTGCGAAGGTCACACATGTGTTGCCAAGGTCACACCTGTGTTGCCAAGGTCACACCTGTGTTGCCAAGGTCACATCTGTGCTGCCAAAATCACACCAGTGCTGCCAAGGAAGGTCGCACCTGTGTTGCCAAGGTCACACGTGTGTTACGAAGGTTACACCTGTGCTGTCAGGAAGGTCACACCTGTGCTGCCAAAGTCACACCTTTACTGCCAGGAAGGTCACACCTGTGCTGCCAGGAAGGTCACACCTGTGCTGCCAAAGTCACACCTTTACTGCCAGGAAGGTCACACCTGTGTTGCCAAGGTCATATTTGTGCTGCCAGAAAGGTCACACTTGTTGCCAAGGTCACACCTGTGTTGCCAGGGTCATAGTCATCAATTTTTAACTATGTTAGTTTGATGTCCCATTTCCCACTTGATTCACCCTCTCCCTTTATACTTTTACCTACAATCACCTATCTCCCTTATTCCTTCTTCCTCCATTAATCCTCTCCTCCCTTATGTACCTTTCCTCCCTCCATCCCTTCATCCTCCCTTAATACTTTATTTCCTTCCTCCGCCCATTAACTCTTCCGCCTTCCTCTATCTCTACCTCCCCCCTCTCATTCTCCTTCCCCCTCTCTCTCTTTCTCCCTCCCCCTCTTTTTTTTATACAGGGTTTGATAAAGTTAGGTTAAGGATCCCTAGCTTTATTGACAAGCTATTTACAGGTTAAAGATTCCTAACTTTATTGACAAGCTAAGAGCTGTTACCTACATCAGCTCATCTGAAAGCATTTTTATTGTTATGAGACATACAAGTAGGGAACAGGATGAAGTTGGAGCCATCTGTGGGCCAGCATTTTCATTTGATCAACTGACTATCTCGTTGACATCATAATGCTGTACGAATGTGTTCCATACTCGAGTCATCCTGGGGATAAATGATCTCAGATGAAGTGATGTTCTGGAGAAGGGTACAGCCAGAGTGAAGTTGCTGCTTTCTGCCCGTCTTGTGGTACAGAAACTTGCTTCTCGCTGTCCTCGAAGTGGATCCAAGTGTGGTACTTTGATAATGTTGGCCTTGTACATAACAGTAAGGCCGCCCATATCTCTCCTGTGTTGAAGGCTCTGCTGAAATGACAGATCTATCCAGGATGGGTCCAGGCGGGAGATGAGGCGTCTTGCTCTGTTCTCTGCTCTGTCAAGCAGTCGCAGATGAGATGAGGGGCAGGCAAACCAAGAAAGTGGAGCATACTCAAGGTGTGAGCGTATTTGTGACTCGTACAGAATCTTGCAACCCCTACTGTCGAGCAAGATTTACGACGTGGTTCTTTATGATCAGTTTGGAGTCAAATTTCACCCCAAGGATAACAAACTTCTTCCCCGGGTACCAACACTCTCCA